ATAATTTTTTTAATTAAAAAATTCATCATCAACAATACATTTTTTGAGTACTTATTCTCTGCTGAACATCATTCAGGAGGGCATGACAGACAATAAAACAGACAGAAATCCTTTCTCTTCAAGTGCTTACATTCTAAAGGTGGATGACAAATTGTTACTAGGTACCATTGAGGTGATTTTCTACTTACAGTGACCCCTTGTGACTTAATAAAATTGCCCCATAGGGTTTCCTAGGCTGTAATCTTTACAGAAGCAGATTGTCATGGCTTTCTCCTGCAGATCTGCTGGATGGGCTCAAACTGTGACTCTGCCAGTTTAGTACAATAGATAGTATGTCAGATAGTATTAAGTACTATGGAGAAAACAAGCAGAGAGGAGTGGAAAAGTGGGATCACTATTTAAATTGGATGCTCAGAGAAGGCTTCCATAAGGACGTGACATTTGAGAACAAACCTGATGGCTGTTGAAGAGTAACTGATTAGGCTGTGCAAAGAGCACAGAATGGAAGCAAGCCTGACAGGTTTGAGGACCAAAGAAACCAGTGTGTATGTCTGAAGCCAGATGAGCAAGGGGAAAAATAATAGGAGATAAAGCTTGAGGTAGATCATATAAGACCTTGTGAGCCATTATAAATAAAATCTTTCACGTTTACTCTAAATAGAGGGTGTTGAACAAAGAAGTGACATAGTTTGATGAGTTTTATAGAAGCTATTTTGTCTGCTGCGTGGACAGTAGCTTGTATAAGGACAGAGCAGAAGCAGTGAGAGGCTCTTGCAGCAATCCAGAAGATGGGGCAATGGTCCTTGGATTTGTTGGCTATTGTAGAGATGAAGGAAACAGGGAGACTCTGGATTGATTGTGAAGGCAGAGCTCGAAGAATTTGCTGATGTGGCATATGAGGATTCATTAGTTTTCCAATACTGCTAAAACAGAAAACGTCAAGTGGGTGGCCTTTGAAACATACAAGTTAATATTCTCACTGGTTAGGATAAAGACATGCTCTCTGAGGTTTCTGGGGGCAGGTGCTTATCTGAGCTTCTACACCTTCAGCATTCCTTGGTTCTTAGTGATTCTCACATGTTGTCTCTGGGTCTAATCTGTTCTCTATCACTCAGATGTGATTAGATTTAGGACACACCTTATGCTGATATCGCTGCATTAACATAACAAAAAACTGTTTTTGCAACAGTGTGTTCATCCCTATAAGGGTAAGGGTTCCAACCTATATTGGGGTTGAGAAGTGGAGGGAGGACACAGTTCATTCCAGAAAGGGGGGAATGAAAAGGCAAGAATGGCTTAAAGTTTTAGTTTGAACATATGAAAAGAATAATTGTCATTTACTGAGATGAGAAAAACCACTCTGGGAGAGAATTGGACATTTCGTTTGAGTACTGTTAAATTTATGGTACCTTTTAGCTGGATGTGTGTGTATCTTGAGTACGGGATAGCGGTCTGGGCTGGGGATAAACAAAGACGTCCAAGGATGGGATCATGGGTTACTCCATTGATGGAGGTAGGGAAGATGAGGCAGAACTGGAAAGGAACAGAGACTAGAAAGGAACCAACCCAGTGAGAAAGGTAGAACACCAGGACAGTGTAGTATTCTGGATTCCCAGTGAGGAAATTACTGCTCATTTAAAAACACTTCACCCAAGAAAAAGGAAATCCACAAAAATTTGGGAGAATGAGTAGCATAATTTTTATTATTACTTTCTAGAAAGAAGATCTGGACATTGTGTGTGAGAGGTTCACTACAAGTAAACTGCAGTCCTTCGAGGATTTAGCCAGTATTTCTACTTACGGCTTTCGTGGTGAGGTAAGCTAAGGATTAAAGACTGTAAAATATTCTACTTGATAACATTGTCTGCCATTTGTCAGCATCTCAATAGAAGTAAAGAAAAAATGATACTTTTTGCTTGCTAAATAAAAGATCAGCTCGAGAAGATAAAGCCAAATACTATAATAAAATATGCAAAGATTTAGAGTTAGAAAACCAAAAGGGAAGAACAC